AAAAAAAAAAAAAAAGAAAAGAAAAAAAAAAAAAAGTAAAGAAAAAAAAAAAAAGAAAAGAAAAAAAAAAAAAAGAAAAGAACAATAATAATAATAATAAAAATGTCTTTGGAAACCCAAATAATAACTAATGATGATAATACAGTTTCTGTTCCTTTTGGGCGTGTAGCTGAATCATACATATTACATCATCCTCTTTTAAAAAACACTCGCTTAAAGTCACAAAGTCAGTTGAAAACACCACAGCTAATAAAAGAAGGATTAATTGAACTTTGTAGAGTTGAAGGTGCCGCTGATTTTATAGAATAGGAAGTTGCTGGAAACAAAAAATCAACCAGTCATATTGATGATATTATAAAACTTACAGCTAAAGGTCATGAATATGTACAAGAAATTCAAACCGGAGTTAAGAAGGATAAACTATGTTGGTCATGGATTATGTTTTGTTCAGGAGATGGAAATAAATATCAACATAAATGTGGAGAGATTGGATAATGTAAACCTAGTTGTTCAAACTATAACTTGTGTAACAATTTACAAAATAGAAATAATATGCACCGTTGCTCAGTTCGTGTTCACTCATTTTCACGATTATCTTACCTTAATTCAAGCTATCCACTTCGTATTAAAATAGAGGGTACTCACCTCCCTTCTAATTTAATAAATACTGCTAATGTTCCAAAAATTTCAAGAATCAATTTAACGCGTGAAGTTAAAGATAAGATTATAATTAGTCGCCATGCTGATCATAGAACAATAAAGGGAATTAAGGGAAAGCTACTAGTTTCATTAAATGGTACTAGTGAAGAAGAACTGAACAATGCGTTATCAAATAATCGTGAAATTTGCAGCAATACAAAATTAAAATGGTTTATCACTCATGAAGATAGACGTTTAAAGGAAAATCTGGTCTATGGACAATACTTCACTATTTAATTGAGACAGAATTAAAATCCAAAGAATATGTTTTATATTATCAGCAACCAGACTTGTCAAAACCTGAAGATTCTCCTGATCACTACTACCAATTAACTGTGTCAGATGAATTTTGGCTAAGAAATGGTCGAAAATTTGGACAATTATATTTCAGAATTGATAGAAAATATGACCTTAATATTGATCGTGCTCCTGTATTAACTATGGTTGTTGAAAATAATACTGGTCATGGAACCTCATTGGCTTTCAGTATATATATTTTTTAATCTAAACTAGTGCTCTGTCGCTGCAAGTACTAGATATTATACTATTAAAACACAGTGCCTAAGGCACTATATTTTAATAGTACCATACCCATACCTAGCATTTGCAGAACCTTAATTTATATATATTAATTATTAATTCTAATATTGATTTTAAAAATATAATTAGGTTTAAGTAACAAAGAAAATAACTAGACGATATGCTTAGCTGTAACATCTGTTAAAAAAAATATACCTTGTAATAATCCCACATGTGAACATTTGTAGCATTATGAGGAACTTCTAAATAAAAAGGGATTTCAAAAAATTCGTGATTGTACATCTAATGAACCATGGAATCCACTTGTAATGATAGATAAACATCGGCCAAGTAAACTAGGAGTAGAAGGCATCGTGTGTGGAACTATACTTTGTTGGTTTTACATTATGCAAACATTTGGAGAAAATTTAAAAATATGGAATATTCCACACTCATTCAGGTTGGTTTTATAAATTTATTATTCACATATTTTCTAAATAATTTTAATCTCAATTTTAATTTTTTAATTTAAGATACCAAATTGCACTGAGATTTAAATTTGTGGGTCGTTGCCGTATCGAAGAGGATACATTTGAAATAGCTTTTCATTATAAAAACTTTATTAATTCACTTTCAATTACTCCAAATCAAAAATCATTACTTATTAAAGACCTAGACAATAATTGGTTATGTGATGAGTAGCGAATGCAATTTATTGATGCTGGTCGCCTTTCTATTAGTTCTAATTTACAAAAACCAATAACCACTAATAACTATACTGAAAGAATGAACCGCACAATTGAATCACAATTGTCTGGAAAACAAACTGTCGTAACATTTATTGAACAACTTTATGGAATTAAGTTATTACGTGAAAATCTTAATCCAGAAGGGACAAATAAAAATGTTTACGAAGCTGGATTGGTTACACTTCTTAATGCACAATCGGTTGAACAGGTAAATAAATAAGTAATGCTACTTATCTTTCATACAAATTTGAGCTATATCTGTTAATAATATATAGTTTATTAATATGAAGTTTTTATTAAAGCAAAATGAACTTTTTAAAATAATATCTACTATGAATCGACGTTTGAATCGTGGAAGACTCTGTTTTCTTATGGGTTTAGTCAAACCATCAAGCCATCCAAATTACTATTATGTTAAAAAAACATATGAATCGAATATTGTAATTGATTCTTTTGATACTGATGAATTTACTGAATTGGAAGAACCTATTGATCATTTTAAGCTGATGATGAACCAACTAGTTAAAAACTGTGAAGTTGAGCTCCGAGATAGATTTTATGTAACTAATATTGTTACTGGTGAATGCCCATTATGTTTAGATTATATTTGGAATGGTCCATTTTATGATGTTTGTAAACACTGTCATGCTGCACGAATTTTTTCGCAAGGGAACAATCTGAATAACATACAAGAAACAAAAGAAAAGTTGGTTAATTATTTTAAGAATAAAGAAAGAGCAATTCTAGCAGATCAAAAAAATAATTTAATTTATCATAGATCCACGGAAGTTGCATATCAAGAAATAGCTCGCCTATTTAATTCTGAAGGTATATATTTTTTACTATTGTTATATTACTATATAATATTAAAATAAATTAATTTGTCTTTTCTATTATAGGCACACGTATTTT